ACGCTGCCGGGCAGCGTGCAGAATCACTAGTGTGTCCTAGGCTTAAGCTAGCTGTGCTTGTCACAGGCCGACACGATAACACAAAAAAATGCTATACAAATTTATCCAATTGCTATGCAAAATTTATTTTGTATAGCACATTTGCTATGCAAATTTTTGGCTGGAAATTGTTCCCTGGTAATTAATAATATAGATATATGTATATTTATAATATCAGTTCTATTATTAATCTCTCCTGATAATATGATCAGCCGTGTCCTGCGTCTTTTTGACGGTCTACTTTAGTAGCAGACAGTGAATTTTTTCTGTCGCTGACTGAAGATGGCCACGTACTTATTTCAACGAATTAATTCAGGAAATTATTATTGGTTTTTATTTATACCTCTTTCAGTGTTCCTTAGTTCACGAGACCTGGGCGAATGCACCCAAAACTTCACTAATTATGTAAAAGAAACGTGTTCGGACTTCCTCACTTTGCTAGGACACAAATGTTCTGGTCATTTGAGACTCTTGCTTTCTCCATCCTAGCTAATACTCTGCTCACTGCCTGATCGTATGTACTTCCCACTTACAAACTACTCCCATTGATCTCTGATGTACTGACTAGAAACACTGCATGTAATATGTATTTTAAAACTAGAACATAAATCTGTCACTTTATTAGTGTAACCACCGACAATTGTCAGCATAGCGCAGAAAAGGTATGATCAGTCATTTGAGGGCAAAATTGTAACTTCAGTAGACATGACTGATTGAAATTCATCAGTTTCCCCCTAGCTGGCTGATGAGCGGTCGCCATGGCAACACGCCTGCATAATTTTAGCCACTTGTGTTCCTTACTGATTTGCTGAATTTGGTCCTTGGTCGTTTCCTCATGAAGAAAGCAGTTTAGGGTGTTCACATCAGTAAAGGCACCATCCGATGTCAATACTGAAAAAAGCATATTACACCACAGTCAGCACGTTTTCAGTCACCCAGCACACAAATCTTGCTTCTCGCATCGAAGAAAACTACCAGCAATACATGATCTTGCTACCATCAACATACACGCTCAATTACCATTTACCAAACCATCACCCACAATTACCCATATTCTCATAATTAGAAGAGATCCATATTGCACTTTAATGTTCAACTACGAAAATACACAAATTTGCATTGCATGCAATGTGAGCAAATGCACCATTCCCATCTAGGCACACTCGACTTTAAACTCCCATACACTGTATGAAGATTGCAAATGCACATAACCAGTTGGGTGATATAAACCTGGCACGGCGATAGCATACTGCTGAATGAAAAGCCATAGCAGGTGTGTAACAGAGCATCATTTATGGATCCTGCATGCCTCAACTACAGCGCGGCAGGGGTGAATAATGACAAATTATAAATTTATCATTGTTCACCTCTGATCAGGATCACGAGTAACCGTGACAGGCAACAGGTGTACCACATAACATCCGACAAACCACGGCTACGTCAAATAACGATTCATTATTCGCTCGAAATTAAAGACTCGAGAACATGATAGGAAATTACAGATAAATGCTTGTACATAGTGTTTCCAAATCACTTTCCCCCCACGCTAACCCTAACGTAACCCCATACGCAACCGATAACAGTAACTCTCGGTTTAAAGATCACTCGGTGCGGTGGCCCGCACGTCAATGTTACGCGGCACATAAGCAAGCTATGGTGCAGGGAAAAAAATATAATTTATTTTTCGGGGGCTAATTTTCAAGCTCGCGTGCATGAAAATAGCACTCTAAAATTTCGTTTGCATAGAACTCTATGCAAATTTACGGGGGCTCTTTTTGGCATTTCCGGGGCTCTTTTTGGCATTTCGGGGGCTAAATCGCCCCGAGCCCCGTGTATTTTGTTCACTGCTATGGTGCACGTGAGCATAGCACGCACTCACCCGCTGGTGAGTGGCTGGGAGAACCATGGTAGTGCACTCTGAAGCTGTCCGGACTCTCTGCGAAGATCGGCGACACCGTCGAATTCGAGCCTCGCTGCATCTGTATTAAGCATGAGGAACTGTGAGTACCAGATCGGCGCAGCAGTGGCTGACCCATGCAGTAATCACGTGGATTCTAAAAAGTGCTCCCGTGGTCGGTAGTTACGATGCTACGCGTTCTATTGTGTGGGCCTCTAGCAGTGACAGGAGTTGCCTACACCACCACCCCCACCCCAACCTCCTCCTTCTCCTCCCCCTCCTCCTCTACTCTGTCAGCATCTGCTATGCCACAGACTCCCCCCCCCCTCTCTCTCTGCACCCACACTCCCTCCTCTCTCTCTCTCTCTCTCTCTCTCTCTCCGCCCACACTCACTCCCCCCCCCCCCTCTCTCTCTGCACCCACACTCCCTTCTCTCTCTCTCTCTCTCTCTCTCTCTCTGCGCCCACACTCACTCCCCCCCCCCCCTCTCTCTCTGCACCCACACTCCTACCTCTCTCTCTCTCTCTGTGTGCACTGTGCACCCACACTCCCCTCTCTCTCTCTGCATACACACTCCCCCCTCCACCCCCTGTTGTGCTACGCGCCGTGTCGGTGTTTCATACCCGCGAGAAGCTCCTGGTCCTCAGCACGCCGGGGCTGGCCGCGTTGCCGCTGCCCGGACTGCGTCGCACGAACGAGCTACTCACTGGTGTCGACCCCGGGCTGTACGGTGATGCCTCCGAGGGGCTGTAGCGCTCGTACGCTCCGCTAGGCGAGTAGGGGCTCCCGGACGGCGTGTACGGGCTGTCGCCGGGGCTGTAGGGGGCGCCACCAACCGGGCTGTGTCGCTGGAATGTCCCAGATCTTCCAGGGCTAACTCTGCCAGGCAGTGGTGGGGATTTCAGATATTTGACAAAATGACAAAATTATATATGCTGAATCCGAATAGATAATGCTGCACAGCATTATTATCGAATATCAAGCAATTACTCGTGGATTAATTACCCATTGGAACATCTTTTCTAGAATTACACGTCATTCCGCCGAATAAACTATCAAACTAGATGTCTAGTTAAGTCAAAAATGTATATAAATGCCACACAAGGGAAACACAAAATTTGTCATTCATAGGCAGCTGTCAATTCTAAGGTGGTGGCTTCACAGTTTAATAGCACCTGAAGTGAAATGCCAAAAATGTACTTTATGGAAGGTGTCCACTCCTTAGAGGTGGTTTCACAATATAACTGCCACTCAAGGGAAATGCCATAACTATCCTTGATAGACAGGTGCCTGTTCTATAGCAGTCATTTCACCATAATATCACTGCTTCTCATATATCAGGGGAAATGCTAAAATTGTCCTTTAAAGACAGATGACCATTCCATCACGGTAGTTTCAGCGAATAACGCCCAGTCACAGGAAAACGTCAAATTGTCCTTACTAGATAGATATCCATACTATAGATGTTGTTTTAATTTTAATAACAGTCACTGAGTCACTGAAGAGAAATTGCGCTATCTGCGTCCTTCAAAGACATGGTTTTACAGCGATGACTGCTAACAAGGCTGGGAGCACGCACACCAGTGAAAAAAATTACACGAGAGCGGCGGGCGAAATCGCCCCAGAAATTCCTAAAAGAGCTCCCGAAAATGTGATTACGGGGGCGACAGTTAAAAAGAAAACGGTTCGAAATCGCCCCCGTAATCGCACGCCTTGAAGTCAATGCATTGCCACTGGTTACACTAGCCAGCCACAGCTGCAAGCTGCTGCAAACCTACAATGCCTGAGCTAGTGTCTCGGCTCCAGCGCAGTTGCAATATAGTGAATTCCAATTCTAGGAAAGTTTTGCTGTCGCTCTTTCATACCAGCGGTGCCATGAACATGCCCCACGCGACTGAAACAATCAGTGC